ATGGATATTCACAACAGCATGCATATTACAGACCTAGCAAAGGAATTTCATAGAGGAAATATTCTGCAATCATCATAAATAATGGAACAAAGTGATTACTTTAAAACCTTTCAATGTTTAAACTCCTCCGATTCAAGTCTCACTTTCACTGAAAATACCAAAGACCCAATTTCGTCCTTCCAAACTTACATACAATAAACTCATCAAGTTTATATCTTTGGAAAAATGGAATGGGAAAATGATTTCCCTTAATTGTGTACAACACTGTAACATACTCAAGCAAAAAATAAATTCTTCAAAATGAAAGAACAGGGGAAGTTTGTTGGTTTAAAATGTAATTTGGGGAATTTATAAATGTTAGAAGGAATCCACTTTATGGTTATTTCAATGACTTAATGATGAATACAACAGAAAGAATCATACATGTAGAAACTGGATTGGATTGACCAAATAGTTTAATGAAAACAACTTGATACATATTGGTTGATCCTATATTCACCTGAAGGAGACATTTGCTCTGCATTGCTGCGTAGCATGATGTGGAACGGGATGTCACACATCTTCAGAAAAGCTTTCACTGCAAGGCATTGGGCCTTCTCTGGAAGAGTGATTTGGTTGCCTGTCAATAACATGGATGGACAATGGAGAAAACAGAAATGTAAAATACAGGTATTTTGGAGGACATTTCAAAATTGTCTTAGTGAATGATGCTCAACAAATTCTGGCTACAATGTAGTAATTTTAACCTCAATTGATCATGTTGAAGACCACATCTTCAACAATTTCTTTCTCAAATTAAAACCAATGAGAGAGAGAGAGAGAGAGAGAGAGAGACATACACACACACTCAAAGAAAGAGGGAGAGAGAGAGAGAGGGGAGAGAAAGAGGGAGAAAGAGGAGAGGAGAGGGAGGGAGAGAGGGAGAGAGAGAGACATACACACACACTCAAAGAAAGGGGGAGAGAGAGAGAGAGGGAGAGAGAGAGAGGGAGAGAGGGAGAGAGGGGGAGGAAGAGGGAGGCAGAGGGGAGGGGGGGGGGGGAGACGGACATTTTGATAAAGATTACCTTCATATGGCTGATACAGCTCTACATTTTCAGGGATCTGTGGCTGGCCTCCCGTGTCTGTGCATGAGGGAGAAAAGAAGAAGAAAAAAAAAAATCAAATTTGTAGTAATCTGAGATTACCAAATTATATTCTGAGCATATTACTAGGAGTATAAAATAAATTGAAAAGAAAAATGAATAGTATTCATCAGATTAAAGAAAATGTTTGAAGATCACTTTCTATAGACAAATTGGCTAGATCTACTTGATCATCAGTCAGTTGGGAACCACAAAGTAATGTCGCATCATTCTTGTTGACTAAACACAAACACAGCAGAGCCATGGCACCTCCACCGTATACTGTGAACGCCGCGGTAGGGAACTCTTGGGCTCAAGAACGTCGTGAAACCACACGCATATTTATCTGTTAGTGTTAGTTACAGTACCTGCCAGTATATGAGCAGTTTCTTCAATGCGCTGCCCCAGGAAACTCTCAGGTGCACAGTCACTGCATTTTGGATAGACTTCTGAACTAGCGCCGCCGAGGCCGATTTCACAAATTCTGTTACTACAGTTGTCTACTACTAGATCTAGGTCTAGACTACTAGATCTACTACTAGTGTTAGTGTTACTATTTAACATTACGGGAAATCCAGGCAGTGGGACTGTAATAATCCGGATTTTATCCAGTCGTCCATTTAGACGCCAGGAAATCAACCAAATCGACTCTCTCAACTCATCATTTTCCTGGAATCTATAAAGAATATTAAATGATCCATAAATGTATTATAAATGTAACTTACCACTCCCATTATTGTGAATTTCAGCTGCTTGCTGAACTAGAGTTGACATCTTTGGTATTAAATATTTTGATGGTACCTTAGAAACACAAACGATAAGGGAAAATTATGCTGTCAGGTAAGGTCGAACTTGGATTTCGATGGTCTAGGCATAACTTTATCTAGTTTATGTTTTTTTAAAAGGAAGAGGACAAAAAATTGAAAGTGAAAATGAATAATTCATTCATTAATTCAACATTCAATAATTTTACCAACTGTTTTAGCACTCATCTTATTTGCTCTGGACTATTAAAAAAATATTGTAAATTTCTATTTTCTCTACAGAAAATATCTTGTATTAAACACATGTATCCTAGCAGGATTATTGCATATACCGGTAGGTTTCAAATAACCTTGATTACTTATCATCAACTACTAAATAAAAAGAAAAATTCATGAAATTTTCAGTACAGAGCAAATTGGATACACATGCATGTAGTCGTCAACTTGAACTGATTAATTAGTAATTTGAATTTAAATTCAATTCATATTCTTTCCCCATCTTTATCTGATTTCCCTAAAACTTTTCAAGATCTGTTTCTCCCTTGCTTTCTGCTTTCTTTCAAACCATATAAGCATCTGGATGTACCTCATCTCTAAGACTCTGTCTCTGAAGTAAAATTCCCTTTAAACAGTATATTTTCCTCTAGATCTCTCTCTCTCTCTCTCTCTCCCTGCCATAAATAACGAACTTTGGGGCACATACACACACAAAAATTGACCAATATTCATAAGCGATGGAATCCCAATACCCGGCACCAATTATCTTCAACAAAATCATGTACACCAACTACCCCTTCCTCTACATGCACACACACCTTACAGACCCACATGCACAACTAAATGTAGTCAACTCAATTACACTGTAGCTCTTAGATGCTGCTTATAAGTATCAGCTTCCGTGGTGATGTAGATATACAGAAGGCTTGCAGTTGCACCATGAGAGTGGGGGAGGATTGGGGAGTCCTGAAAAGGACTGTTGGTAATCTAGCTTTTTGTGTAATTCTAAAAAAGGACTAGTGTAACTTTTCTTGATCTTATAGTTCATAAAAATGAGAGAATGAGCTTTGTGAAAAGAAAACATTCTGAATCGACTAGATCAGTATAAATATGCCCATATGAATTGACTGAATGATACTAATGAAATGGTAAAATAATCACATTTTTTAAAATTGTCATTGTTATTTGTTAATGATACTGAACTTGAGGTCATTCATTCAATGTTAAAAATTCGATTTTCTTTTCCTTTTATGAATATATTAGTTGTTCATGTAATACCTTCAATTTTATCGGATTTACCTCATGATCACACCTATTAATGTTAACATAAACACAGAGGGATTTTTAAAACATAATACAATTGACAAAGGAAATTTCATGTCTTAAACATTCAATGCACTTTATTGTGTAATACTTACAACACTGGTTTGATATTTTTGACAGAAAATGATTAATCATTAAATTAGAATAATCACACGATGTATTAGACTGAATGAAATATAAACTTGAAAAGGAAACTGTTGCCCAATAAAATTACATGTACATCACACCTTGATTTCATTGATATCTTTCATAAAATTTGTCATTTATTTGGAATACCAATTACTGCTTGGAAACAAAATATTAGTATTATGCTAAAATTTTCTCTTGTATTTCAATAAATACCGGTAAATACATAAGTACCAACAATTATGCTCAAAATTATTGTTCTCTGGTAACCCTTGGGACTGGAAAAAGGATGACAGTTGATCATTGAACATTTCATCACTTGCCTCTTAGTAGTGAATAGTAAGTAGTATCAAATTATTTAAAAATATTGTCAATGTTGACCCAATATCTAATTTTCAATGTTAAAATCTTAGATTAAAGCTATATATTACAAAAAGTATGTATTAAACCATTAGCAAGGAGAACAAACTTGTTGATACATATTTAATTTTTTGTTTGTTTAGTATAAACAACTATTCCCAATGTAATGTACAGCTTCATCCTACAAAGATAATCTCAAAATTAATATTCATTGGATGTTCCTGGATTAAGACATAACTGACTTAAAACATGAGTAAAAATTTAGATTTACTTTGACCTTGCAAGTACATGTACCTTGTAGTGAGGGGGGGGGGGGAGCCTATACTAAATAAGTTCATGTAGAATACAACAGTCATATTGGGGAAAAGAAAAATGAGGTTGACAATCATAATATTTCATTTAAGTTCTGCTTTTACCAACAAAAAACAACAACATAAAATTGTGATTTATCTGGACCATGATTATTCCTTTTAGATAATCTTGACTTTGGAATTAATCATCATCTTAAAATTGAATTCTTGCTAATGGTATTGCATTCTTTTTTATATATAGCATTGTTGACAAAAGAAAATGAACAATCACACAAAACTAATGTTTTTGTTAAAGGAATCAATACAAAACTAAATACACTTCAGTCATAAGGTTTGAATTACGATGTATGAATCAATTTGGTAATACAGATTATTATTAATTTCATGATTTTTTTTTAGACAAAGAAAAAGTTTGTTCCAAAAATACAGGGCCTTGCAATACATACCGGTACTACATTTGTATACTAATACAATTTGTAAAAAGAGAAAATTAAAAAGTAAAATTATACAAACCCAATAACATTTCTGCAGATAATCAACATTGAAAATGACTAAGTGTTAAGTCACTTTCATCTGAAAGTATGAATTCTGACTGGAACAGAGTTTGTATATATACATACAGTCATCATCCACAGCTCTAAACTACATGTTTTACATATAAATATAAATTGTTTACTTATAATCTCAGGAATAGAATGAATTTTCAACCTGACTTACTCCTCCAGGCTTTGAATGGTCTTTTAAGGAGAAATACACAGTGTGACTCCATACTACAAAAGGCTCTTAGACTTGGGTGTATAAAACATGTGTACATGTATACCAATAACAATCTATATCTATTAACTCTACAGATGAATTATTAGACTCTTAATTTTACATCATAAATTTAACAGATATTTGTACAAGTGATGGCGAGAAGGATGTTTGATGCTACTTTAATAATGACCACTTCAGTTGATCCTTGGCTGACTGGAGAACCTAAGAGCAAAAGAAAGAAAAGAGAAGAAGAAAAAATAGCATTTAAAATATCATATTTCATTCAATCTTGATTCAATAATGCAAAATACACACAAAATACACACTGAAATGGGAAGAAATATTTCATACCAAATGGATTTGTATTTCATCATAAAGTTTGACCTACTCGGTACCGGTCACTATGAACATGACGGACAATGAAAGCAGACAAAATATACAGTTCCTCAGGTAGACAAAGGAACATCCCTTCACTGATATTATGTAAAAATGTGTAGAACAGGTGTCACATGCATATTTACCTGTTCTACACATTTCACATAATAGCAGTGAAGGGATGTTCCTTTGTCTACCTGGGAACTGTATATTTGTCTGCTTTCATTGTCGTCATGTTCATAGTGGGTATGTGTAATTCAAGTCTTACAACAACAAATCAAAAAGGCTATTGTAAACCTATCTTGAATGGGGAGAAATTCTACAAATAAAATCTATAGTATACACTACCAAAAATTTTGTATCATAAGAATTTGTAATTAATGTAATTAAATGGATTTCATTTACTGTGTCTGCTCATTTTAAAGGGTAGCTTTTCTTGTTTTGAATGAACTGGATAGTTAACTCAAGGTCTGGTCAACATATATTTTTGGTGGCTGATTTGAAACATGTCCATCATTTCCACTTTTTTTCAAACTGTGATCTCAGAATGTGATAAGATTTTTAAATAAAAACCTAAAAAGGATATATAACTTTAAAAATCAGTGTGAATATTGAATATTGGTATATTGCCACTTTGTTAGCATATTGAAATATCATGAGCTGAGATCATATATTTTCATTTGTAATAACGCTACAAAAGCAAGTCAAATTGCCAAAATACTTCTGTCACCTAGAAACAATTACCGTATAGAAAAAAGAAGATAAAATAAACATGAAGAAAAAAGATATTGCGATAATAGGAAATATAGAAATAGGCCATTACCTACATGTATACATTGACATTTATATATAAATGAAAGAAATTGATCAATTTAAAAGAAAATGAAAGAGATTTCCATGTACAAGGCTCATGTATAATTTCAGATCTTAGAATAAAGTGAACGAATACAATACATACGTACACTGTTCTTGTATGTAAAATTAGTTGATATCATGGTGTAGAACTTAAAATTATATTATATTTGTCTTATTTTAGATATAAGGTACATTTTTCAATAAAGAAATCAACTTCACTTTTACAGGTACAACATTTCAGGCTGTTAGCAAAGATGTTGATGGGGGGGGGGTGGATTGGGGATCAAGCCTTAAAGGGTTTTATTAAAATATATTACATGCAAATGCCATATTAAGGCTGCTTGTACATAAGGCTTCAGAGTAATTCAGCATACAGGTATATGGATGAAACACAATGCAGGAAAGCATTTGAATTAATGTTACAGCGCCAACTAGTGTCAAATCTACCCCATATTCACTCTTGCATGATGTGTACCAATATGATGCTCACTAGTGAAAGCAATATGTTGTAGAATGTTTTAAGTAATATGTGAAGTAAAATCAAAAAAAATTAGAAATTATACAGTAGTAGAACATTGAAGAATGTAATCAATATAGAAATTAACTTATTATGAAAATGATACTATATTGTAAATACCTTTTTAGGGTCTGTAGACAAAACATGACAACATTTTTGGTTTTATAACAAATTTGATAGACTTTTTGATAATGAAAATCTTCATGACAATATTTTTCCAACTCCAGCCAAATTCTAATTTCATTAAAATGTATGTGGTTTAAGTGTAATATATATATGTAATACATAGGATCAATTCATTGGCCAGCAAGCCAAACCTATAAAAGTGACTTGCCTGCACAGTGCTAATGTACAGACATCACTTTTGAAATAAACATTTTCAAATGTTTTTATTCAACTGTTCCAATAATATACATTTATGAAAGAGAAGCCACAAAAAACAAGTAAGTTCACAGTGCAAACATACTGCAGAAGAAACTTAGTAAACTTAGCAGTTTATGTGGCAAGTGCATAACTGTACAAAGATACAGTATTTGAATTTTGGCTTCATTGAGTATCACAAGTATCGTAATATCCAAAAGTTATTTGTAGCATTTGCCTGTATACAAAAATAGTATGTTTTTACATTTTGCCTGAATTGAAAGGTGATTCACCATTAATACTAAAACAAGATACAAATAGTATTTCACTGATGGACTGAAGAACTGTCTGTTTGGAGCCAAAACGGCCTTAATTGATATCCTTAAAACAGAATTAATATACTTCTGATTCCAAAGAGATGAAATAACAGATTGTTAATTGGTAAGTGTCTTCGTATGATGGTTAATTGAAAATCTAATAACTACAATTGCCTTCATCTAATATGGATTGGTAAGTCAATATTAAGACAACAAAACAGAGAGTAAGGCTACGTGTCTAAAGGACAATTACAACATCTTTCTCCATAACTCGGTAGTCCATGAGCTCCCAATTTTTTTTTAATCTTCAATTTAAAAAGATATCATATGCAATTGAAGGAAAGTTACTACTGCTCTCTTGTGTACATAAATCATTCATATACCAGGGGGTGTTTCACAAAGATTAAGATTGACTTTAAATTGGACTTCAAATATAGAAGGCCATTCATGCAACTGTTTTCTCTCCCCATTTACTGGTATTGGTCTCTCAAGGGATGTACAAATCATGGTCACAAATCTACAGAATTTACATTTTGTTTATAGTTCATTATTAAAGGACAAAATATTATCTAAAGATCATATTTGTAAAAGCAAATACGTCCTGCCATAATTTTGTCCAAATTAACCTGGGAAGGTCCAATTTGTATGTGGGATTCAAAACAGCTTTGCGTTTATCATGTCTTGGAAACATGATTCTGGCTGTATGTCACATTCAAAACGCACTTTTTTCAGCGTTACAATATGCCCATATCTAAAGACGTTTGAAAAAGGCTTTGCGCTTTATCACCTTAAAAATTTGCCTGAAAGACGTTTGAAAACGCAGATTCTAGGCAAAAAATTGGTCAATAAACGCACCCTTTGTGAAACACTCCCCAGGTGTACCAACATTGTTGTTCTTTCTACTTTGTAGTGCCCCACTCCCAACCAACCCAACCCATCCCACCCTTCCCTACAAAAACATGTATGCCTGGAGAGCATTTGCATGGGTCTTTCTAAAGCCATTTTCAAAATTTTCATGACCGGTATATAATTTACTTATTATACATTGCAGTCATTATGAAGTTGGTAGACTACAAGCACAAAGAGATTTCGAAGAAGGACAGTTTACAAAACTAATCTAAAAACTAGTGGGTGCAAAGAAAGATGCATGGATGCCAGCTACATGCAAACAGGTATTTTTGTTCTCTTTCAAGAACGAATTTTATAATGGGAGTAATTATGCTACATATCATATTTCCTATAAAATACAGAAAGTGTTATGTCTAGTATGAGTCAGGTTTAGGGAATGTGATAGAGAATATGACAAATAGTCTTCCTTTGCTTATCCATGTTTTCTTGCTAGAAATCAAAGGCTGCTTTGAGCACTACAAATGTGCATGGCAGCAGGTCTAATTATGTATGCACTCTATCCCATAGCAAATGGAAATAAAAATATACCGGTACCAATTATTAATATTATTATTTTTGTTTTCACCTCCTAATGACACTCTATCAAGATGGGTAGAGATTTAACACTGATCTTATCACCAGAATCATCCTGGGGGGGGGGGGGGGGTCACTCTCATACACAAGTGCTACCCACCCGTGTCCCTCAAACTCTGAAATGGACCCTAATGGCGTAGCGCACCTTTTCTGAAATGACCCTAATGCGGTATGTAAGAAACGTTGAAACTTGTGAACCTGAAAAAGTACCCTTTTTGGGGGGGGGGGGTTGTGCGATCAGTGCTTGAAAAACACCCCTTTTTAAGAAAAAAATTGATGACACTGTATACCAGTAGCTGAGAAAGACACCCTTTCAACGCTTTTTCTGGACACAATTGCGTAGCCAGTCATGTTAGGAGCAACCCCCCCCCCCCCCCCCACCCCGGAGAAATATCCTCTGATGGATCTACAGGTAAATAAAGTTTAGATCCAGAGCAAAAGCTTAAAATTTAGAAACAGGGAATCCATGCAAAAATGTTAAGAGAGGAAAATGGTTTAAGTGAGAATGTGAGTTCTTGGCATAATATAAATATTAATATGCACAAACAGAATGAGAGAACGAGAAACCATCCCTGCGAGCAAAATGGATCAAGCAATCAATCAGAATGGACAGACTTACATCCAACTTGCTGCTGATGACCTTCAACACCACAACAGAGGGAGGCACAGAACAAAAAATAACAAGGGTGAAGGATGTGACAGAGGGAGAAATCAAACCAAATAATAAAACAACTGGAAAATAAAACTGAAGAACAGCTTTCAGCTTGTGAAGGTAGTGGCACTGATTTGCAATCCAATGATTAAATAGATTTGTTTATTAGTTTTAAATAGGAGCACTAGTCAGACAGCATTCCTGTAACATGGTGTAATGGTCCATGCATATACCCATGAATATCCTCAGTCGTCATAGACCATCCTATCCAGTAGGCTATATGACTACCGTATTTTTTTCTTTAAAATTGTGGCTTTAGATATCTTTATATTAGTCTCAAAGGCTACGTCTAAATTTTTCATGCAACAAAATTAATTGTCGTTTAAAATTGATAATGGTGAATTCATTAGCAAAATTTGAGATACAGTGGTTTAAAAAACCAACTGGTGAAACAATCTACAGATCAATGCTACTACAATCATGCACGATACGTCTGTATTCATCTTAGCTTACTACCTGAAACATGTCATATAAATCAATATGCCATGGATGATAACATAAACATTTTCACACTATGAAAAGTGTAAATAAATGTGATTTCTCAAGGAAATGTTACCTTGTCAGTTACCTCTAAACACCTCAAACACATCACAACATCAAAATGTGAGTCATGTATAACTGAAATTTTAACAACTGTTTATTTGGTAGTGCATTTCCTTTTTATTTATACGTTTATACTTTTGATGTATGATTGAAGCATTCATAAAGCCATTTCTTGATGCACACTTTAACAGTTCTATACAAAACTGAACTGACAATAATTATGAGATGTTCCACATTTATAAATACATGTAGGTGTGCGTTTTGACATAGATGCAATATGTCATATGTAATATGTAATACATACATGTAGTGATTGTGATCATGATATGTTAACACAACACAAGTCATAGACATGTAGGATTATAAATAAAAGACCGTTTCTTTTTACTTGTTATCAAGCATTTTAATACCTGTGACATGGTCTGTTCGCTGATTGGTACATCATCCCCTCTCAGTGAAACTCTTTGTGCAACAGCAATTGGGTCTGCTTCAAGAATGATCCTGAGAATGAGAACAATCAGCAAGAGCAATAATCATACATGTGTATATTATCTGAAATGATTTTCTTATATATGAAGTTTAGTTCTTTAAAGAACTGAGATATCTATTTCCATGTCTGGCCATTTTTTACTGATCTGCAATGAACTTGCAATAAGTTTAGGGCAAGGTCTTTAAAGCAAACAACACAAATGTATTAAAGCAGCACAAGCTTACACAATATAAATACAATGAATAAAATTCAAATATTAAAAGGATCACTTTAATAATTTTTATCATAAATATCATTTTTTTTAGGATTTCAGATGCTGATCAAAGTACAGGTGAATATGCATCTATTTTGTTGTCTCAAAAGTATTATGTAGACTGTACAATTTTGAGGAATAGAAATTAAAAATAAAAAAATCTACATGAATGAGGTTTAGAATAATCATGAGCTAAAACTGTAATTTTCATGAATTGAATGCCTCTTTATCTGTGTAAAGGCAAATCCACTTGAAATTATAGACGATCACATAAGTGATTGATGCCAATACCATTCAGAGTCAATTTGGCTTTTCCTCTTAAAAGGAGTCCACTCATAAGTGTGTAAATACATTTTGAGTTCTAGACTCTCAAATTTTCTTTTTCTGAATCATCTACGTTGTGGTAGACATTATTTTATAAAGAAAGTAATAAGAAAAACAAATACATTTTCAGCTCAACTTAAGCTTCATACCAAAGGTTAAAAGGTAACAAACGTCCCTATTTTTTTTTTAAAGAGAAAAGAAATTCCATTTCCATTAAATGTCACATATCCTTTGTTTTCTGAGTAAGTAAAACCAGATGCAGACTCTTTGACATCAATCGTCTTTCTAACAATTGGAACAAACAACACAGTGTGCAACCTGATACATGTACAGCATTCAGACACAAATTGATTCCAATCTCACATAAATCACAAATACCAAATAATTCTTTATTTTTGTTGCATGGAAGGAAACTCTTTTATTTGATCACATCCTGCCTAGACAATCTCATCATTTCCATCAGTGGTTTGAATTTCACTGGCTTTCTTTTTTTCTTCTTTCTTTCCCTTTTATTTTATCTCTATGTCTGATTGGCGAGTTCTACAGATTCAATTTCAAACTGATTTTGTCCTCCTTTTGTGGACGATATGGGAGAAAAAGCCAAACCTCTGTGCGTTTAAATGGGCGGGGAAAAACTACTAAATGATGAATCTACATGTAATTGCTCATAAAATAAAGGCTTGAGTGTGCAAATTAAATTTTGTTCATAATACATGCATCATGAATAAACATGAAAAGTGCTGTTCTACAAATAATATAATGGTGTATATTTTGTCTGTTCCTTGCGCACATTTTTTTCTAAATTCTTTCATATAATAGACCTAAGCAATTTCTAGGGTCCATTTTTGTATTCACTTTATAATTGTTTTGGCCATTTAAGCTTCTAATAAATTCCTTGTGAGGGGAAAAAAGGTGTAGCTCTAGCAATTATCTTTCTTTTTTAATATTTTTTATATTTCTATTCTTGGGGTGGTTATTTGATTTCATAGCTTTTTAGAGAATTGTACTATGTTTTTAAACCACTGCTTTAAAGGTAATACAAAGTTTTGGTATGGGGTCATGAATTTGGTTTAAATGAACATATTGGAAGCATATGAGATCCTACAATATTCAGTGATCGTTGTCGCGGTTGAAATCGAGTCTAAAGTTATAAAATTGTAAATAATAAACTCTTTATGTTGTATAGCTCCCTCTTAAGGTCGAGATATTAATTAAGCTATAAAACAATGTTTCTTGACTAAAAGCGACCAATGAGCTATTCCCGTTTGGAAATGATATATCACAACTACATATTCTGAGATTTTCATGGTCGCAGCTATCATTATACGGCCATAGGTGCTATTTGAAAGCAGAAATTTTTAGGGGCTAAATGTTCTAGTGCTTATAATACATCCACAGGGGCATCCAAATATATCAAAATTGTAAAGAATCATTATCCACCTAATTTTCAAAATTTCCCAAAACTTTGTATTACCTTTAAGTAATCACATGTCAATATAATTTAGCTAATGTGCACTGCATTAACAGCCATCACTCAAATGAGCTCCAATGCTCTATCAATGGAAACCAAATGTATCTACACTACTGTATAACCAGAAACTTTGCAAGCACAAATTGCTTGTGAATTTTACAAGTGGTCTAGATTCATGAATTCCTCAAGTGGTCCAGATAAATGAATTCCTATTTTCTCCCCTGTGAAATATTGAATCATAATTGACAACACTAAACTTTTGCAAAGGTTTCTGGAAGTGGAAATGGCCATCATTAATATTTTATGATAGTTTCACGTCACATACATTTCTGGTTTTAGAAAAATTCAATACCTTCTACTACTTACCCTTCATCAATGATTTCATCCAATGCAAGAATAATGGAATCCAGGTGATCAAATAGAGCTTTCTTTTCTACATTTTTCCTGCAGAAAAAAAAGAGAAAAATGAAGAAAACAAAATTATCAATTAATGACATCAGTACACAAGCATTGTTTAAAAAATGTTCATGAAACTGAAACTATGAAAACAACAAAATTATTCATGTATGTACTGTACAGGATCAGTACATCAGTATTGTCTGGAAAAAATGTTCAAGAAACATGGGGAGAGACTTTACAAAATGAAGTCAATATTCTTTAAGTGAAAGCCTTTTAGTTTCATTTTAGGCTTCTTTCTAGAATGAAATTGAAATGTTGATTTGATTGCACCACAGACACTGGAATCTAGGTCAGGAAACATTGCTTAATACCCAATGTGCCTTTCTTCAGCTTCGCTTGGATGATACTACGACATCATGAGGGGGCCATGTCAAATCTTTGCATCATTCTTGGATGACAGGTTTAGAAAAAAGGTCTGCGATATGAAGAGGAATTAGAGTGATCAATCAGCACATTATTTTGGTGAGGCATCTCGACTCTTCCTTCAGAAAACAGGATCTGTGCAATTGACTTTGTGACTAAATATTACCATCCTAAGGGGGAAAGGGAATTGGAAGCAGAAGATGCTTGCATGCTTAGTTCAAGGTGTAGGTTTCCATGGAGCTGATGTATCCACACCAAACTAGGGATAACGTTCATTTTAATGTTTCATGACTGTCATGACTGCATAGTATCATTACAGGTGGCAGACTGATAAATTGTTATACTACAGAAGGAATTTCTCCATGAATTGAGCAATAAAACAATTCTGTCAATAGAAAAAGAAATACCATCACTACAATAATGACACAAATGACCATACAAATCAATCTAAATCATTCACTACTGATCTCGTGTGTTAGATATTTATAAGTTTTGTGCTGTTTTTTTTTGTTTGTATTGTTTTCGTTTTTGTTTTTGCATGGTTTTGCTTTTGATCTCGAAGGGCCTTGTCAATAAAAAAGTGAGTAGTACATTCAGGTGTAAACTATACACAAATGTGCTACTGGACATTCACTGTCCATTCTTATCTAGTGGTCATTTCATTTCATTCTACCACCTAGCATTTTTACAACAAAATTGTTATTTAGGTAGGTAAATATAAAAATGTAAATCTAGTAGAATAACTATTCCAGTTTACAGGCAAAAATCTGAAAATTAAGTTTTAATGTCAGTGTTACTATCCACGAAACATGAAAATCCCACTAAAGTAAAGGTATATATTTTTTTTTAATATCTAAATAATCATGAAACTTATTAAGCCTGATTACAAAAATCACTACGAAGTAAAACTGTATTCTAACACCCTTCTTTTTGGTCATTAGACACCAAAGATATACTAAGATCTCTAAAACAAGTAGAGTGGCTCTTTAGACAAGCACAAAACAAAACAACTGAGAAATATGAACACTGCCTAGGAAATATTACTCTGCTCTGTGAGGGTGATGAGAGAAAGGAAGTGACATACAAGTCAATCAAATAGGGAGGGTAGTCCATCCCCTAGGGAGGAGGGGGGTGGGAGGGGGAGAAAGAGGGAAGGAAGAAGATATATATATATTCCACTGTCACTGGATGCAACTAAGATCTGCCTTGGAAACGAAGGGTAGGATGACAACATCCGTAATCTGATTTGGGACTGGACTGTAGGAGGGAAACGGCAAGGAAAGGGGGAGAGAGACACAGAGACAGAGGAAGAAAGAGAGAGAGAGAGAGAGAGAGAGCAGAGGAGAGAAGGAAAGAGCATTCATGTAGATCAACTTCCTTCTTCTGAAGATGAACTGTGGCCTAATTAATGAACACATCAATCGTTCAATTCATGGCACTGCTTATACAGGACAAAAAGCAATTAAGCAGACTTCAACCAGATCCACATCTTTTCTTGATTTCAAACCAATTCATAAATCACCAGTGACCAATCACTTTTCACAAGTTTTGATTCAAGACAGGTGACATCAAGTTATATCAAGAATCTTTAATAGTAGGGATGACCTCAATCTCATGATGACTATCAAAATGTCAATCTTTTAAAAGTTATGTGTTCGTCATTAGAGTTTGGCAATGAGACAAATATTTGAAGACAAGCATGAAGAGATGCAGAAGAAGACACTATTCTTTCATTTCCTTTAAATATTTAGCATATGTTTGTGGGCTTCTTTCTCTTTCTTTCTTATATTTCAAAGAATAGTTTATTAAATAATTTTTATTCCATGGGTCACTTTTCTGTAATTCATCTTTCTCTAGCCCAATTTCCTACAGATGATGTCCATGTTTGGTAACCATGCAACCAAACCACCCTAAAGCGATAGGGACCACATCACTGAATGGTGCCTCTAGCCTAAGCTTGACTTGATGGTTCCAAGAGGAGGTGCATCCAGGTGAAGCGTGATACAAGTTTTCCTCCTCCTCCTCCTCCTCGTCGTCTCCTGAGATGTAGAGCGATGACAAGGTGCCATGATGTGATTGGTAGTTGGCAGCTCTGTCTCCTGCTGAGGGATGTGCCAAGCCAAGGGTGTGTGGGTGGGTGGGTACATTGGAGAGGTCCTGGTGCAAATAATACCTCAAGCTTTCTCCAAAGGACAAAAAGGTTTTCAGCCTGATGATTTTAAAAATTACACAATCAGAGCCTAAGATGACGCAATTAACGAAAACTGAAAATTCATGGGCATTGCTTACCATATATATAATAGTAGTTTTATTCCTCTTACTAACTATACATTTCTCTCCTTCTCTCTCTTTCTCTCTCTAACTGTCACTCTCTCCGTTTATTTCTAAATGAAAGATGTAACACTGCTGAGGCTACTGGTACAACATTATCTAAGCATCATATTTGCCTTTTTGAAAAAATTAGGCCATCTAATTGAAGTAAATGAATGCAAGTTGAAGCAGAACTTCCTCCAGCATTAAACACAGAGACTTCAACTTTTGACAACAAAATTGAGCCTAAAATAACTTTTCTATACCCATTGCATTTAGACCTCAAATTTTGAACAGGGGCCTAATCGGCAAAGACTGTACAATTTTGATCCAGACCACCATTAAAAAAAGTCTATGTGAACTCTAGCACATTTCAATATATTAAAATTTAAAAAAATAAGAAATAAAAAAATGTATTTCCAAATTTCAATTAGAATAAAATAATATTGAAATCAGAAAATGCTCGTGCCTGATCATCTCTTGCTTCCCTTCATACCTTCGTTCTTTGTAGAAGAATTCTAATCCACAGGTGAGAACTTAATATACCTGGACATCATCATCCAAGAATCAATGTGCAGGCAGGAGCAGATGAGTCATAATGAAAGACCATCTTCTTCTACCTCTTCTGATTTACAAACAGGAAAGGACAAGCAGAAGAATACAATGAAAGAAAAGGAGAAGGATGACAAGACAAGATAGAGCATCTTTTCTAATAATTGGCCATAAAACAAAGCACATCCTGTCCAAGACGACGGTCAGCTATTGTTCTATCTGATATGTCCATAGAGGCGACCCGAGATGACCTCGTCATCAAGGAATCTCTAAGACAGGCAAAGATAGGTACACCTTAGACAGGTGGACTCTGAAGCGATTCTAAAGGATAAGTGAACAATATCATTTTACATCCACGGATGACATTTGCTTTGGACATGCCAAATCAATTCCTTCAAATGCTGTACATCCTGTTTTGGTAAAAGGAAAAAGGTCAAAATCATTCATCCACATCTCTGTGGATTAAATATTGTTCAACTGACCCAAATACAATTACAAAACAGAGTTCTGGTGATCAAAGGAATTGAAAAGGTAAGCCTAATTATGTTTCACTATTAACCAATCCAACCTAGTTTGAATTTCCTTAAATCTATCAAAGAACCCCCTCCATCTCTAGTTTCCTTTTCAATTTTTCAATGAAAGCCAAAGAAACAATAACAGCAGCATAACACAGCAATGATGGTGGTGTAACACAACACGGGCACACTTTGTAGCAGAAAACATGTTGTGTGAAAGTACCTTTGAGTTTAAACTTTCTTGATTAACTAGAGTGTGGTAATATCAAAGAAACATGGCTCAAAGCTGAATGACCCAGACTGATGTACACTGAATAAGGACAATTCATTTCAGACATTAAATTTCAGTCACACCCTGGGATGTAGCCAGGATATGCTATGAATAATTTGTCTTTGTAATAAATCAACAATCTTTTAGGAATCAGAAAAACAAAAGGTTACTCCAATTCATCCATGACGTCCCTGTCCTCCTCTGAATGCCCAACACAAGTGACCCAGTGAAGGGGCTAACAAAGGAGGAAGGCTGGGGGAAGAGTCCAGTGTCATGCACCATGGATACCGGACTAGAATCTATAAACTGATGGGTCGGTGGTTGATTGAGGAGGATATGATTTATTTTATGTGTGTTTGGGGGATGGGGCTCCCTGGAGAGGGGGTAAGACAAGATAAAAGGAAGGGGGAAGAGTCTTGTGATGACACCACAAAGGGTGATTGACATGAGATGGAGCTTTGCTGAATCATGCACCAGGCCAGAGGTGACTTCCAAACAGCCGATCTAGCTTCAATAAGAAGCAGCTGAGAGGGGTCATCTGGTGTCAAAGGTCAAAGGGTGATTGACATGAGATGGAGCTTTGCTGAATCATGCACCAGGCCAGGGCTGACTTCCAAACAGCAGATCTAGCTTCAATAGCAAGCAGCTGAGAGGGGTCATCTGGTGTCAAAGGTCAAACAGTGATTGACATGAGATGGAGCTTTGCTGAATCATGCACCAGACCAGAGGTGACTTCCAAACAGCCAATCTAGCTTCAATAGCAAGCAGCTGAGGGGGTCATCTGGTGTCAAAGGTCAAAGGGTGATTGACATGAGATGGAGCTTTGCTGAATCATGCACCAGACCAGAGGTGAATTCCAAACAGCGGATCTAGCTGAGAGGGGTCATCTGGTGTCAAAGGTCAATGGTCAATAACAATGAATTCTAAAATAAATCATATGTAGTAGTGATATGTACAAGAGGTATTTCTGTTAC